CCAGCTCTCTGCTATGGCCTGGGAAAGCAGAAGATGGCTCAAGTCCTTGGGCCCCTGCGCCCACATGGGAGACCCATAGGAAGCTCCTGGCTCCTGGCTTCAGATCAGCACAGCTCCGTCCATTGAGGCCAACTGGGGAGTGAACCATCAGATGGAAGACCTCTCTGCCTCTCCTCTCTCTGTGTAACTCTGACTTTCAAATAAATAAATAAATCTTTTTTAAAAAAAAAGTAATTATGAGATATATACACCATGAACTACTACACAGCAGTTAAAAAGAAATGAAATCCTATCATTTGCACCAAAATAGATTAAAATGGAAAACATACTTAGTGAAATAAGCCCATCCCAAAAGGACAAATACCATATGTTCTCCCTGATCTGTGATAACTAATAAAGCATCTAAAATGTAATCTATAGAAGTGAAATTGACATTTTATGATGCAAAACAGCCCTTCTCAACTATTGAGGAATAGTTTTTTTTTTTCACACAATTTGTTGAATTCTTCACTTAGAATAAAGTTACTCCTATGTGTATAAATTTAATTGAAAATAGATCTTAGTAAAAAATAGCAATGGGAATAGAAGAGGGAGGAGGAAAAGAGGTGGGAGTATGCGTGGGAGGGTGTGCACAGTGGGAAGAATCACTATATTCCTAAAGTTGTATTTATGAAAAGCATGAAGTTTGTATTCATTAAATAAAAGGTTTCTGGGGAGGGGGGAAACAACAACAAAACAAACAACAACAACCAAAAAAAGCATGCAATCCACTGGGAAAAGTACAAAGTTTCCAGAAGATTCACCCTCAGCCTACAAAGGAACTGCAAATGAAAACATGGATGTCGTTGTTATCAACTGGCAATGATGGAACCCAGAGTTGGCAAAGGGGTGAAGACAGACTTTTTCTCTGTTATTGAAGTATAGATTGGCATGATCTTTTTGGAGAGACATTCGGTAACATCACAAATACCGCTACTCTTAACCCAGCAAGTTCTACTCTGATAATTTATCTTAGATACACTGACTGCATGCAAAGGTAATACACAAAAGACATGTTCAGCAAAACATGTTTTTCCTTTTTTTTGACGGCAGTTTCAGGTTGTAAACTACACTTATTTATACCACAGACCGGTTAAATGAATTGTTCAACCAAAGAAATTCTGTGTACCTTAAAAGAGAACTTGGACTTTTTGGACTCAAAGATGTCCAAAGAACTCCAAGGGTATTTTAATTAAAAAAGAGAGCAAGTTGCAATACAGAACATGAAGTATGATCTCCTTTTTCCATTGTTTGTTTTGCTAGTTTTTAAGAGCTGCACCACAGCGCTGGTCCCATATAAAGCCCTGGCCTGAAGTGCCGGCTTACCCTATGGGTGCCGGTTCTAGTCCCAGCTACTCCTCTTCTGATCCAGCTCTCTGCTATGGCCTGGGAAAGCATGGAAGGTGGCCCAAGTCCTTGGGCCTCTGCACCCACGTGGGAAACCTGGAAGAAGCTCCTGGCTCCTAGCTTCGGATCAGCACAGCTCTGGCCGTTGTAGCCATTTGGGGAGTGAACCAGTAGATGGAAGACCTCGCTGTCTGTCTGTACCTCTCTCTGTAACTCTTTCAAATAAATAAAATAAATTTTTTTTTAAAAAAAGAGCTATATGTTTGTGATTGCATAGATTTCAAGAAGATATTAAAAAGAAATCTTTAGCTTTAACTCTGGGGAACAAGCAAAATGAAAAAATCTTTCACTTTTTTCACTCATTTGTATTTCAATGTAACTGGTTAGAACATTGTTTTTATAATAGAGAAAAAATACTCCCTCTATAAGCTAATGCCCACCCTATCTTTCTAGCTCCCAGTTACACTTGCCTAAATCTATTCCCATCAATCTGGTCCACACCCACTGGCCTATGCCTGGCTCCTCCTCTCGTTTGCCTTTGTTCATGCATTAACTGTACCCATTCAGATTTCTGCTCGTCCTTCCACTTCAGGATCTCTTCAACCCCACCAGGCCACAGCCATTATGGCTCCTCTGAAGCAGGCATTTCTGTGGCACCTGCTGCCCCGTATTGTGTACCTTCCCTGAGGGTGGCTATGTTCTACTTCTCTCTGGGCATCAAACAGCTGGTACAGTGTCTTTTCACAGTGGGGACTCAGTAAGCAGATTAGCCATGACTACCCCGAGGGACTCCAATTCTAAACTCAAAATTTAATTACACTCACTCAGTTATGCTAAGGCAAGACAATGAATACATGTTCGATACATTTTCAGAAACAAAAGGAATTTCTGTTCAAACTAAGCTTATTCTAGAATTCTACTAGAGTTGAACCAGATCAACTCCCTTCTGGCATTTTCTTGTTACTTAAGGCTTTACCGTTTGATATTTGACTTCACCGGCACTAAAAGGTCATTCATTTAAAGGCAAGCATATAACAGACTTCACATACAAGATTAAAATGAGCAGTAAAGTTTTGCTAAGACATTCAGCTTTCTTTATTACTCTTTATTCCCTAAAAATATTCTTCCTTCTTACAAGGAATAAGCAGCTGGATAAACTCAGTCTTTTCTGCTTAACAGACCCATTATTCAATTTTTTTTTACAAAATATTTGAAAGTAACATACACTCAGTTATTTGGTGTAGTTCCATTTTATTCTTAAATGTTAATCCTATTACGGTGAGGATAAATCCCTGTGTTAATAATCAACTTCTTTGTATTGTTTCATAGAAGCTTAAACACTTGGGATCATTTCCTTTCACTGGGAAAGAAATAACCAAGACAAGACCCTTCTACTCTTCAATTACCATTTATCCCGTGACCTCAATGGGGCACTGTAGAATCCATGTCCCGTTTCATGTCCATCTCACCCGACAAGTGTGATCTTTAGAGAAGTCTGTTTATGCCAAGACCTAAGTGGTCTGCCCGCTTTCATACAATATTAAAGGAAACGTGCTGACGGCGCCTTGCAACCTGGACGGGCTGTCGCAGGCTTCAGTGGAAAAGGGGTGGGGCTGGTGACCCCACTGAAGGCAAGGCACACGCAGGACGCCCGCCCACAGCTATGCAGTGTAAAATGCTTAACAGTCGCTTCTAGTGACGAGACTGTTACAGTGGACACGAACTCCACGTTATATATCGTGATGTAAGAGAGAAGCTCACTGGCAGGAGGTTCGTTAACAGAGACCAGAGCCAGCTGAATGACTGCCAATCACTACCAATACCCTTCCCAGCCTCCCCTTGGCACTGCCGCCGGGCATGGCTCCCTCCACGAGAAGCCCGGCTGTTGCTGGATGGGCGTAAGAGCCTCACCTCAGCCCAGCTGTTACAGCTCTAACAGCCATCGTCTGTCCATTCGTGTGCCAAGTAGCCCTGTCTGGTGGCAAGGTGGCTGGGCAGGGATGAGGTCACTAAGTGGGAAAGTTACATTTCCCTTTTCTACCCAGTTCCCAAGGAAAATGAAGGAAAACAGGCAGCGAAAGCAAAGTGGACGGAAGCGCGGTGGAGGGCAGCGGTCGGCTTGCTTGGGTCCCTTGTAGAGATTCCACCACGGGACTGGAAAGGATGGGGACCCCGCTGCTGGGCTGGGGTGTGTCCCAGCCGGGGGCAGAGCCGGGGAGCAGCAGAGCCACAGCGCAGTCGCCCCGCCACAGAGGTGCGCACATCCCATCACGAGACAGCCACCGGAGCCGCAACCACACTCTGCCAACTTTGCTTGGTTTTTATTAAAAAGGCCATTTGACCGTGTACTGCAGCTCCATTTGTTCTTTTATTTTGTTTTGTTTTGTTTTTTTGACAGGCAGAGTGGACAGTGAGAGAGAGAGACAGAGAGAAAGGTCTTCCTTTTGCCGTTGGTTCACCCTCCAATGGCCGCCGCGGCCGGTGCGCTGCAGCCGGCCCACCGCGCTGATCGGATGGCAGGAGCCAGGAGCCAGGTGCTTCTCCTGGTCTCCCATGGGGTGCAGGGCCCAAGCACTTGGGCCATCCTCCACTGCACTCCCTGGCCATAGCAGAGAGCTGGCCTGGAAGAGGGGCAACCGGGACAGAATCCAGCGCCCCGACCGGGATTAGAACCCGGTGTGCCGGCGCCGCAGGCGGAGGATTAGCCTAGTGAGCCGCGACGCCGGCCGGCCTCCATTTGTTCTTCACACATACACACACCCTTCCCCTCCCAGCACAGTGCCACCACCCAAGATTCACTATCTCAGAACTGAGACATTGCAAACACAGCAAAAAAAAAAAAAAAAAAAAAAAAAAAAAAAAAAAAAAAAAGGTTAATTAAGGGCAATAAAATACTGCTGCTGGGGACCCATCAGAGGGCCACAAACACAGACGCTCACTCTGACCTCTGGTTAAACACAGGTGAGCACACACACGCACCACCTCGCCTTCCTGAAATCCAAATAAAAAATGGTGGCACCGAACGGTTCCTAAAAGACATGAATCCATAGGATAAAGAACAGAAAAGACAATGAAAGAAAGAGAGAGGGGCAGAGCGTGAACCTGGTCTCAGAGCAAGGCTGAGCAGAACCAAGGCAGGCGTGGTCTTGCAAAGAACCTGCACACAGACCGGCAGGCAGGCAGGTGTACCTGGAGACTCTCGGGTCCAGCGGAAGGCAGGGCTCACCAGACATTTGCCTGAAGTCTGACAACGCTGCAGCGCAGTCGGCCCCTGCCCACGTTTCCTCTCCCACCTCTCACTGTGAGCTACCCCTCCCCACCATGGCCAAGAGGGTGCACTAGGGGTAACCTCAGCTCCTCTCCAGGGAAGCAAAGGGGTGAGCTGAGATTTCAGGGATGTGGGCTGGGGTGGGGGAGGCAACAGGGATGCCAAGAAAGGAGTGCTCGTGTTTGAGGTCTGCTAAGCGTGTGTGCCTCTGCAATCGGAGATGAATTTCACCCTGGATTCCGAGTTGGCGCCATCGAGTGGAGAAAGCAGGTGTGACGAGAGATTCTCAACCTACACGGGCAGGCCCTCCCCACCTGTCTTCCTGTTCACCATGCAGCCCCCTTACCTGGCAAGTTTGCTGAGGCCAAGGACTTGCTTGTTAGGAAGATAACCGATATGCACCTTCAGAGAAAACACAGCAACCGTGAGCAAAGGGAACACGCAGCCCAGCTCCGCAACGCAGTGAGAAAGCACGGCAGAACACAGTGCACCCACATCCGGTCCGGCACGGCGGCGGCGCGGCTGGAAACGTCTGGAAGCTTCAGACTCAGACCATGAGGCACTTACACACGCATTTTTAAAATTACACAAACACAGTAAAAGGAAAACATGTGAGAACGAGTCTATCAATCACATGATCTGTGTCATTTTCTGGTGAAATACATGAGAAAAATCTGAATGTGAGATATAAATATATATCAATCATTCAATACACACACACACACACACAAAACGGGTAGACAATTAACAGCAAAACATTAGCAAATGAACAGAAAAAAACAACAGCGAACACCACAGACATCTCTGTTGGTTCAGCTTACAAAATCCCAACTGAAAATCTAAGAGGAGCAAGCTCTCTGTGTGGTGGGGGCCCCAGCCATTGCATCCAGATCAGCTGTGGACAAGAGCAGACCTTTGAATGGGAATGTGAAACAAAGGGCATGAAGATCCTGCACCATTTCACTGAAGAATTGAAACACGGCTTAACCAGCACGATCCCAAAGACAACACCCAATCCAAGCAATGGCTCCTAAGACATAGATGTCCCATCGACAATAAAGCAGGGACTGGCGCTGTGGCATAGTGGATGAGGGTGCCACCTGCAGTGCCGGCATTCCATGTGGGCGCCGGTTCGAGTCCTAGTTACTCCACTTCCAATCCAGCTCTCTGCTATGGCCTGGGAAAGCAGTAGAAGATGGCCCAAGTCTTTGGGCCCCTGCATCCACATGGGAGACCTGGAAGAATCTCCTGGCTCCTGGCTTTGGATTGGGGCAGCTCCAGCCTTTGCAGCCAATTGGGGAGTGAACCAGCAGATGGAAAACCTCTCTCTCTGCCTCTCCTTCTCTCTGTGTAACTCTGACTTTCAAATATTTCAAATAAATAAATAATTTTAAAAAAACACTTATTAAAGATCAAAACAAAATAAAATTAGAGTGGTAGTGGCGGGGGCAAACTTCCTTCTGCCAGGGGCCATTTGGACATTTATAACATCATTCACGAACCATACAAAATTATCAACTTAAAAATTAGCTTGATAGGGCAGGCACTGTGGTGTAGCGGGTGAAGCCGCCACCTTCAGATTGGCGAAGCTCCGGCAACTGCGGCCATTTGGGGAGTGAAGCAGTGGACAGAAGACCTCTCTCTCTCTCTCTCTCTGCCTCTGCGTCTCTGTAACTCTGCCTTTCAAATAATCTTTTAAAAAATTTAGCATTTAGCAGAATTTATTGTATTTCAAGTCCTGCTGTGGTTGCCTTGGCAAGACCAGAGCCAGCGATTTCACAGGCCTTCCTTAAATGGCCCACGGGCCACACAGGTCCCACCCCTGTACCTACATATTCCCAAAAACGTAGGTTGCAGCAGATTCATTTTTCCTGGCATTTGTTGCAAAGAAATTACACACACCAATAGCACAGCCTCTGTCACAAGCAGTTCCACACTCATTACTGCTCGTGCCACACTGTACATACGTGTATCTTTGACCAAACATCATTCAGCCAAAATAAAGGGCAGGGATTTTCAGAGCCTACAGTTACCTTTTTAAAAAAAAAGAGCAACTTTCACCTCTTATCTTAGCCTATTAACTTGTTATTTAACAGGAAAGTCTTGTCTCTGAAGGTCATCTAGTTTCTCTGTTTTTTCACTTAAGTTACGAGATCAGCCAGGTCGATAGCGTAAATATTTCTGTGAAACTATGAATAAATGGGATATTGGGAATGAGCAGCTGACAACTGCCATTTTCCTAATCTTTCAGCTTTCACTGTGCCTTTTAGAACTATGACGCACCGACAACGAAGACCTTACCTTTCCCACAAATGGGACCAGATGATGCTCACACATGGAAAACATGTCTATGTCCTTCACAATCACCATCTCGTCGTGATCTTCATCAAAGATAGCATCATTGAGGACATCTGAAACCAGAGGCTGTGTTAGCCACAGTGCTGGATTTACAGAACAATCCAGTGTAGAAAAGCTACTAGGGTAAACATGAACCGACGGGCAACATGAGAATAATGTTAATCCTCACTAAAACAGAACGGAAATCCACATTAAAAGAGTTATTTTTCCCTAACAAATTACTGGTGCTTTCCTTTAGGGGATATCAAAAAACTCTTGATGTAGTGTTACAAGAAAAACGTGCAATCACAAATACATCTGCAGAATGAGTGCAAAGTAGGGAGCAAGGGAGGAATTAGGACAAAATCAATCTGATTATTTCTGGTGGTAGAAACAACTCTGTTTCTTCCTTACATTTCCTTATACCTAGGATTTCTCTGTGGTGGAGATACAGAAAACCACATCTGAGCAAAAGATTAATCCTTAACCTCCGCCTCCCGGGGCCGGAGCCAGACACCTGTAAACTCGACTTCTATTCTCAGTGCCCCCAGATAATTCTCTGCTGTTAAGAAGTCATCCAGTTATTGCAAGCAAACCTCAGAGTTACTGTTAGCATTCACCTTCGTAGGGAAATAATCCCACAGGCTGCCTGTCTGGGAGACTGTGGGGGAGGAGCCGTATCTTGTGTGAGCCGTGGAAACTGGCTAAGGTGGCTAGGCATGCAAGAGACATTTAAAAAGAAGCAAACACAATGTTTTCAAACTGCCCTGATGGAGCCTCAACTACCTCATCTGCAAAACAGGTGAACCAGCCGGAGCCTGGGGGAGCTTTGAGCTCTCTGCCATTCTGCGACTGCAAGAACATCCTGGGAGCCAGAGCCGGGGCCTGCAGTGCTGTCATCCCATATGGAAGCCGGTTCAAGGCCCAGCTCCTCCACTTTCCATCCAGCTCCGTGCTAATGTGCCTGGGGAAGCAGCAGACCCACATAGGAGGCCCAAAAGAAGCTCGTGGCTCCTGGCTTCAACCTGGCCCAGTCCTGCCGTTATAGCCATCTGGGGAGTGAACCAGGGGATGGGAGATCTCTCTCTCTGTAACTCTGACTCTCTCCCCTCATTCTCTGTAACTCTTTCAAATAAATATTTTAAAAAGAAAATCCTCGCCCAGAAGCTGAGAGGGGATCAAGGGAAACGAGCTACAATCTTCACTGTAACGTGACAGCTGTGGTACTATTATCAGGGGGTGCCTGGGGGTGTCATAGGGGAATGCTTGTGATACAGCAAACCCTGCCACTCTGTTGTCACACGCACATAGAACTCCAGCATGATCTCTCATTTGTAAGATAAATGTTTACAAAAGAACAAAACCTGCACAGTGTTTGCACAGCCTGCCAGAAGAGATGCATCAAGGCACCTGGCTGTGTGATCTCCAAGGACAGGCACAGAAGGGACAAGATGGGGACAGCCCCCTGTCTGTACCTCCCCTGGAAGGCAGGCTGCTGAGTGAGTCACAGGGAGATGAACAAAAGCCCACGCTCAGCCCTAATCTTCAGTGGCTGCCCTGCCACGCCAACAGGGCTCAGCGACATTGAGTCGTCATGCTCACCATGGTGACCAGTTGACCGTGTTGTGGAAAAGTCCTTAGTGTGGTCAATGACAGGAAATGTGAAGGGTATGGACACACACAGGCAGACACCGTCACCACGTCTAGAAGTGGCTCATAAAATGCAAGGAGGAAAAATCTCAGTGTCATTCTTTTTTTTTTTTTTTGACAGGCAGAGTGGACAGTGAGAGAGAGAGAGAGAGAGAAAGGTCTTCCTTTTGCCGTTGGTTCACCCTCCAATGGCCGCCGCGGCCAGCGCGCTGCGGCCGGCGCACCGCGCTGATCCGATGGCAGGAGCCAGGAGCCAGGTGCTTTTCCTGGTCTCCCATGGGGTGCAGGGCCCAAGCACCTGGGCCATCCTCCACTGCACTCCCTGGCCACAGCAGAGAGCTGGCCTGGAAGAGGGGCAACCGGGACAGAATCCGGCGCCCCGACCGGGACTAGAACCCGGTGTGCCGGCGCCGCTAGGCGGAGGATTAGCCTAGTGAGCCGCGGCACCGGCCATCAGTGTCATTCTTTCAGTAAATATTCCTTCTCCAAAAGCACACTTCTGTTGTGAATACTCTGCTCTAACCTTACTCATAAATCTGAAAGAAGTCCAAAAATAGATCCTTCAGGTTCCCCAAAGTATTACGGGTTGTCCCCAAGATCTTGATACAGCATTACTTAAGATCAAGTGTCTGGTAATTACAACAGATAGAATTAAAAAGGAGAGAATGCGCCAACATGGGAAGCATCCACACAGCAGACTCAAAGAATGACAATGGCTTTAAATAGCACTCTGACCTCAGAAACAGCCCTTAAGTCTTCCTGGTCTGGCTGAAAAGCCCATGAGAGCATTTCAGGCATGGAAAACCAAGACACTGTGGCAAAAAATATTCTACAAGAAGGATCTCTATGAGTGAGATCCCACTGGAAGGAAGGGGTCATCAAAGAAGGAAGTACTTTTCTCTGAAGGGAAGAGAGAACTTCCACTTTGCTTATGGCCTTGTCTAAATACTGACAGAATTTGTGGATTCAGAAAGCTTCCATAGCCTAGGCAGCTCATGTCAAGAGCCTAGGGTGAGGCCGGCGCCAAGGCTCAACAGGCTAATCCTCCACCTAGCGGCGCTGGCACACAGGGTTCTAGTCCCGGTCAGGGCGCCAGATTCTGTCCCGGTTGCCCCCCCTTCCAGGCCAGCTCTCTGCTATGGCCAGGGACTGCAGTGGAGGATGGCCCAAGTGCTTGGGCCCTGCACCCCATGGGAGACCAGGAGAAGCACCTGGCTCCTGCCTTCGGATCAGCATGATGCACTGGCCGCAGCGGCCATTGGAGGGTGAACCAACGGCAAAAGGAAGACCTTTCTCTCTGTCTCTCTCTCTCTCTCACTGTCCACTCTCCTGTCAAAAAAAAACAAACAAAAAAAGAGCCTAGGGTGATCAATTATATCACACATAAGAGTGTTAACTGATAAATTAACAACAGAAGTCATTGTGCACTAATTCCCCATGCAGGACCTCAATGAGTTGTATTTGAGTTAACTGTAAAACTAGTTCTCAAACAGTTTTGTGTGTGTGTGTGTGTGTACGTGCACAAATCGCTGAAATCTTTACTTAGTCTAGAGTTGGTCTTCTGTGTACAAAGTTAATTGAAAATGAATCTTAATGGAGAATGGGACTGGGAATGGGAGAGGGAGGAAGAGGTGGGGTGGGAGTGAGGGTGGGAGGGTGGGAATGGTGGGAAGAATCACTATATTCTTAAAGTTGTACTTATGAAATTTGTACTCATTAAATAAAAGGTTTCTTTGGGGGAAAAATCATTACTGTCTTATGTAACTTTCTAAAATCTTTAGCCACACAGGAAATAATCATCAAGGTAAAAACAAACAAGAAATGCTTCTTAAACAACTAGAGAGAAGTACTGAACACAGCAAAGATTCATTCTCTCTTGCAAAGAATGAGATTATTCTCACTCTAAGTTCTTAGGACAACTGCAGGACACACATTAAAAGTTAGCCCTCACTGTGTTGTGGTGCATTGGGTTAAGTTGCTGCTTGTGATTCCAGCATTCAGTATTAGAGTTTGTGTCCCAACTCTGCTACTTCTGATCCAGCTCCTGGATAATGCACTTAGAAAGGCAAAAGAAGATGGTCCAGATACTTGGATCCCTGCACCCACGTGGGAGACCCGGGAGAAGCTCCTGGCTCCTGGCTTTAGCCAAGCCCAGACCTGGCTATTGTAGCCATCTGGAGATTGAATCAGTGGGTGGAAGATGTCTATCTCAATCCCTCCCCCTCCCTCCCTCCCTCTTGCTCTGCTTTTCAAATAAAAAAAAAAAAAAAAGCCAAAATGATTACCTATAAAGAACTAAGAGAGCCGGCACCACGGCTCACTAGGCTAATCCTCCGCCTTGCAGCGCCGGCACACCGGGTTCTAGTCCAGGTCGGGGCGCCGGATTCTGTCCCGGTTCCCCTCTTCCAGGCCAGCTCTCTGCTATGGCCCGGGAGTGCAGTGGAGGATGGCCCAAGTGCTTGGGTGCCTGCACCCGCATGGGAGACCAAGAGGAAGCACCTGGCTCCTGGCTTTGGATTGGCGCAGCAAGCCGGCTGTGGCCGCCATTTGAGGGGTGAACCAATGGAAGGAAGACCTTTCTCTCTGTCTCTCTCTCTCTCACTGTAACTCTGTCAAAAAAAAAAAAAAAGAAAAGAATTAAGAGAAAAAAGAGATATGGATGGAAGACATCTTTGAATATAAGTTACTATGGAGATATGATGTTGAAATCATGTTGTTTTACCACTTAAAATTAAACCAAGAAGAAAAAAGCTAGTAACCCCCATATGGCCTAATGCTTCATGGGGCAGTGGAACACAAATATGTCACCTGTATCCCATTTCATTAAAATGAACCCAGACTATAAACTTGACCTAGCCACATCATTTTCTGCCAATAATGAAGTTCCCTGGCTATATTTGTGTTTTGCTCCAACATATCTGAAAGCTGCCGTCTGGGGATAATAAGAAGAAAACACTATCACAGATTGTTTTAATTTCCTGCCTGTTATCAGCAGCAGGAAGGTAACCCTGGAGACAAGGGTTTGTGGCATTCTGGGAAACCAACATAGCCTCCAGCAGGCAAAGGTCTGTCTCCAGCCACGCCACACAACGTCAGCCTGAAAGTGGACCTTTGTCGTGTTATTAGCGATTGAGCAATGACAGCAAGGAATGCTGCTGGGCCGACACCAGACATGCTCCTGAAAGCACGGGAAGACACGCTCCCCATAGGGCCTCAGGCACCTGGCTAAGTGTCTCCTGGAGCAAGCGCTCCCACACTCCCCAGTGGGGCTGTGAAAGCGCAGGCTGCTGGGCCCCATCCCCAGGGCATCAGTTTCGGTAGGTCTGGGTGAGCCTTAGAGTATGCATTTCCAGCAAGTTCCCAGAAGTCAGGGATGCTCCCGGTCTGCAAACCACACTGTGAGAGCCCCGTTTTGAAGCATCCC